AGTACTATCACTGAGGAGGAAAAAAGCAACCCTGAAGTTTAGGAAATTTCATTTCAAAACTTTAGTTTGCCCTGTATTACATACATTTTATTCAAGACGTTGGCTATGTCTAGACTGCATTGCTTTTTTCGGGATACTTGAAGTATCCCGAAAAAACAACACCGCGTCCAAGGAATGCATCTGCTTTTTTGAAAAAAAAAAAATTCAAAAAAAACGGACACGATCTTCCGCCATCCCTGTAAACCTCGTTCTACAAGGAATAAGGGATTTCTCAAAAGAGCACTTTAAAAAAAAATTGGTGCCATGTAGATATGCCAAATTTCAAAAAAGCCTGTTTCAAAATTAAATAGAAAAAATTGCACAAATTGTGTATTTTCTTCCTATTTAAGAATGCAGTCTAGACGGAGCCTTTATGACTATATATTTTTAAAATTTGTATCTTCAGGAACCTACCGAAATTTGGACATACTGCCATCCGACCATGAGTACAGGCCCTGACATTCTGTGCTATTGTCCACATCTTCCTCTTTTCTCCTAAGTCCTATCCAAAAATCACCATCTGAAGCCAGGAGACTCTCAATCAATTTTTCAATCAGTCTCTGTTCTGATTCTGATTCAATACTGACTAAATGTCCACCATCTCTTCTGCATGCCTGGTGTGCTTCTTCAAAGTTGATCCTGCGCAAAGCATCATGAAAATACATGATTTTGTAGCATGGTCGCTGAGTTCCACCCCGGCAAAATGTCTGCCCTACAGAAATAAAAATAAGACCATTACTGAAACTGCATGTATTTGCTGATGATGATTAGCACAAAGAGTAAGCAAATGATGTTAATACTTGTGGAATTTTGCGTTGTGTGGTAGGTTTTTTTACATAAACTATTCCAAATATGTAAAAGAAAGAAACACTAACTTTTGTATGACTAAGGAATTATTAAGCATTGTCAACCTTTTCTTGTCACATACACTAGTTTAGACTGACCTCTGGCACCACTGTTTCTCAGTTCCTGGGATCCACTGCCCCAGCAAAAGTTCTCTGCAATGAAGAAACCTCAGCAATTCCTTACAGAGGGGGAGAAGATTCTTACACTAAAGCATTGTACCAGAGAACTAATTCATATGGCCAACTTTGTTAGCTGGGGACAGGGGTGGGGAAAGGAAGGGGGGCAAAGGAGGGAGCCTGCAATAGGATTCAACCATACCCTTTTGTAATAATTTACCTGGTTAGAAACTCACTCAGATCCTGAGATGTGCTTAAAGATCCAGAAATAAAATTTTTTTACCACTTGGGAAGTGCATAATAGCTTCATGGAACTCACCGCAGTTAATCAGGATATGCTTTCCAGAGCATAATGTTCCAGACTTCTAAAGAAGTAAACAATGACTGTTTTCAGTCATGAGCCAACCTCTTTCCTATGCATGTAACAACTTGGCTTATTTTGACCATGAAATAAAGAAAGTGAAGATCAAAGAGAACAGACACGCTTATATTTAAATTGCAGAAACAAACAACTCTGAAAATAAATATTCATAATGTAAGAACAAACACGCAGCATATGTTTAGTTTAGCAACTTGTGTATCTACAGTAGAAAAACAACGTTTAGCAGCAATTATGTAGTCCTAAATAAGCACAATTTAAGGACTGAATGCTACACACTTTTGCATTGTAAATCAGTGCTCCTACAGGGAAGTGTGTGTGGCATATGCTTGTCCTTTGGTGTTCCTACACCTTTTTCTAAGGCCCACCAATGCAATGGGAATTTAAATCTATTCTGGTTTGGGATTTTGGGGGGATTTAAATCCACTCACCTATTTAGAATTACAGTGACTGCTAAAATATGTCAAAGAATTTAAAACAAGAATTGCAGTAAAAGCCTCATTTAAAACATGTCTTTAGATCTTTTCTGTTTCTAGTTTTACAGACAGACAGCACTGGTTAAAAAGAAGAGATAGTCTACTAGCCCTGAGGACCAAGTCTGCTCCTACGGAGTGTGGTGAAAGCAAAAAAGGGAGAGTGCAGATTGCACATCATCATTATACATCTGCAGGAGCCATGAAGAGATACCATAAGTTACCAACTACAAGGTTCCTTTTTGATACTCCAAGCAAGTATTTTCACGAACCAGCAGAACATCTGTGTCTGATCTCCCAAACTTGCCTTTTCTTTTAGCTAAAGGAAATTTTAATATAGTTGCTCACTTTCCAGACAACGCTGCAAGTTAACTGTCCAAACAGTGATCTCACTGTAGGGCATGTTATTGATTAGGCAACACAGAACAATTTATGTATAGTTCTAGCCAATGCAGAATGAGACTCTGTTTTCTTGTGTTTTCACCCAAAACTTACTTATGAATGTGATAAAAATTCCCCAGCTTTTCACAATGCACAAAGGGCCTGGTCCAAACCCTACTGACTTCAATAGGCACAGAGCCAAAGTATTCAGGTCATGAGGCTGCCACTAGTCCTGTCTCCATTTCCAGCAGCTGTCCTCATTTCCAGACCAGTATACAGGAGATCACACATCTCAGTTTGAGTACACAGAGCTCACTGCACACATCAGGGATTCCTGCAGCATCCCTTCATTTCCCTTACCCTCTTTTTCAGGGTCTCCCTGCAAGACCACCAGAGACTGTGTGCATCCCTATTTCCTCTTTTCCCCATATAAAGGACTCCTAATCTCTCCCACCCAGGGCCTTGTGTGCCCCCTTATTCTTCCCTCCAGCATTCCAGGATCTCCCATTTCCCCCTTATGCCAGACACTGTCTGCAAAGCCTCCTCCTTCCCAACACTAATTATTCTCCCCGAAAGAAGCCCATCAGTCACTATACTAAACTCTTTTGGGAGGACGGGCAGAGATGAGATGGAGCACTGTTATGCTGGATGGTGATAACTGTTGATTTCTTAGATTTATAAACAATTACAGAGGTGCTTGTGGCTGTGCTGGGTAGCTGGCTTTACATGCTCTTATTTTCCCCTTTTTTCGCTTTTGCCCAAATCAATAGGATTCTGATCGCTGAAGCCTAGAACGTTCCCTGTTTGGAACTGATCCGATGTGAAGTTCAGATGTTTTCCCCTCTGACGACAGGCAGACAGACAGAGATACAGTGTGGAGCAGTGTGTAAGGTCTTCGTAAGCTCAACCAAATGAGACTTATTGACTCCCCAAAATAATGACTCTCTCACTGAAAAATACACATGGCTCCATTATAGTCAAATTTCCACTAAGCCAGTCATATATGTAATGTGCTCCCCCACCTTTATAGTCTGATAATTGTGTTCCCCAGTTATTTTATAAAGCCACAAATCAACTTTTTGACCCCTCAAAATGACTACTGCTATCTTTCACACACAGAAGGATATACAAAAGAATGAGTGGTATAGAAAAAGTAAATCAGCTGTGCCTATTTACCATCTCATAATACAAGAACAAAGATATTACACTGAAGTGTAACAAATTTAATAATGATGAAAGGAAATACTTTTCCTTCCCACACAACGTATAACTGACCTCTGGAACTCACGACCACAAGATATTATTGATGCCAAAAGTGCAGTAGGATTCCAAAAGCATTAAATATTTATATGCATAATGACAACTTTTACAGTATATCGATAAACAAATATTATATACGGGATACCAATTTTCATGTTTTAGGTCATATGTACTAACTTATGGGAGATAGGCAGAAACCTCCCCTATGGACAGGTCTTGCTATACCCATCCACTGTGGGGGTTTCTTGCACCTTTCTCTGAAACAACTGCTCTGATCTAATATGGCAATTACTGGACACCAGTGTTCCCGCTAAGATGAGCAGTGGGCCCAGGGGAGATTCAAATGCCGCCCAGCTGATTAGCAGGGCACCCACCAGGAGTTTCTTTCGGTGGTGCATATCCACACACGCCTTGGTACACAGAACAAAATCTATTCTGCACATGGATGGAAACATATAAACATTAGAGGAGAGTGAGAGCGAGAGCGCCTTACTAGGCTCCATGCTTTGCACAAAAATATATAGGAAAAGATAACATGCTATTTTTATTGCTTGCTAATTCTGGGAAGCCTGAAAATTATCCCCTTCCTGTCACGGAGTCATGGGACAGCAGCCTCCAGACATTATCTCGCCCGGCCCCTTCACTCATGGTAGGACATTATCTGTTCTTATGTTTGGTCCCCAGAAGGGACTTTACAAGACAGAATTGAGAAAATCCAGAGTCTTTCGAAAATGCATCTGGAGGTGACCAATGTGAGGGGGGATTCAATGGCAAGAGTGGCTCGGCTGCATTTAACCCGGGAATGGGCAGGGAGGCGGGGAGCAGCAAGGTCCCCGGGAGGTTGGAGGAGCTCAGCCTAAGAAGTGAGAAGAATCACGGAAGTGTAACAGCGCCCAGGGAGGGAAGCACTGCCTGGTCCCAGCCCCACGCTGGCTGCACCTCTGGCTCCCCCGCCTCAGCCCCACCACCGCTGCGGCCGCAGCAGCGAGTGCACGGACCCCGAAATCCACGGCTGCCAGGCGATGGGCAGTGCCTGGACTTCCAGTCCTGCGCCCCGTGGGAAGCGGGTCCCGGCCACGCTCAGTGCCCTGGCCTCGGAATAGGGCCACTTTCCTTGGGAAAATCCCTGGGACCCGGCCTCCCTGCGCCCCCTTCTCCATCTCCATCCTGGAGGCTCCCTGCGCTCCCTCCCCAGCCCCGTTCCAGGGACTCCCTGCGCCCCCTTCTCCATCTCCATCCCGGGGGCTCCCTGCGCTCCCTCCCCAGCCCCGTTCCAGGGACTCCCTGCGCCCCCTTCTCCATCTCCATCCCGGGGGCTCCCTGCGCTCCCTCCCCAGCCCCGTTCCAGGGACTCCCTGCGCCCCCTTCTCCATCTCCATCCCGGGGGCTCCCTGCGCTCCCTCCCCAGCCCCGTTCCAGGGACTCCCTGCGCCCCCTTCTCCATCTCCATCCCGGGGGCTCCCTGCGCTCCCTCCCCAGCCCCGTTCCAGGGACTCCCTGCGCCCCCTTCTCCATCTCCATCCCGGGGGCTCCCTGCGCTCCCTCCCCAGCCCCGTTCCAGGGACTCCCTGCGCCCCCTTCTCCATCTCCATCCCGGGGGCTCCCTGCGCTCCCTCCCCAGCCCCGTTCCAGGGACTCCCTGCGCCCCCTTCTCCATCTCCCAGCCTGGCTGTGCAGCCCCCAGGCCCTGCCCCTACACACACCTCGCCCCTCCCGCATGGTCCCCTACATCTTCCAACTCCCTTACACACACTGTACACCCCTCCATTCTGCCCTCACCTTCTATACACCCCCAACCTCCTCTACACAACGCCCCTAGCCCCCCTCCAACCCAGACTCCCTACATCCCACAATCCCCATACACCCCCAACCTCCTCGCAATCTACTCCCAGACACAGGCGCCAGTCTTCCTCACACCCTCTTTTCACCCCAACTCCCCCTTTCTACACCCCCCTCCTACACCTGTCCCCCACTTCAATCTCCCATATGGGAGATAAGGCTGTTTTCAAATCATGCCAATACCAAAATGCTGCATTTCCTCTGCAGACTCACAGCACTGGCTTGATCGTTGCTGAAAGACCTGGGGTAAGGGGAAATGTGTCCAACCCCCAGGAAGCTAGATCAATAGCTCCCCTACCCTTAATAGCTATAGCCAGCACCTTCTGTCAGAGCTGTTGAGGGCTGTTCTTTGAGCACTTTTAAGTATTTGCTTTCAGCCCCCCAGGACAGAAATAATATATATGGGGAGTTTGTTTTAAACACTCACTTGAATGGAATAAATGCCTAGCTTGCATTTTCCTCCCTGTCATTTCCTGATGACTGGGAAGTTGGTGTACATCTGTTTCCCGCCCCAATTATTCTTCAACTGACATTTAAATCCTCCATGTCTGAGATGGTTTCCAGGTGCTGCAGGGACAGAGAATTACAAAGGATAAAATGTAGGAAAACTCAAAAACACTATTGTCAGAGGGACACTGAAACATGAAATGTGTGTGTGTTGGGGGGGAGAATTGTTAAAAAATTGAGAATTAACCATTTTAATAATGAAAATTAAAACTGAAACTCGTTTTTTGGATCCAGTTAGAGAAAGTTTTCAATGAAACAATTATTCAAAAATCAATATTAAATTTTTAAAAGACCTTTAAGTAAAACTTGCAAGTTTTGCACTCCAAATCACCAGCAGTCAGGAAATGCAAAAGTTAGGGTTCTAACTGCATTACCTTAAGCATCCTCTATAGTTATGTCATGTCATAAAATTACACAGGATGTGCAACGTAGCAGAATTAATGTTCTTCTAGGAAAGGTATCTTTTGCAGTTCCTGATTCCTGGTTATTAAGGCCCTGATCCAGTATATGTTCAAACACTTATGTACCTGTATTCTCATGAGCCATTTTATGGCTTCAATGTTATATTAACACATTTTTTAAAAAATAATGTCCTGGAATTTTAAAAGATAACTCCTTAAATCCTTTCAATTTTTAAGATTCTTCAAAATGTCATTAAGGCAGCATAAGCACCTAACCACCTCAAACCCTCTGAAACTGCTCTAAATATCTAGAAAAGCAAAGTGTGTATGTTGCTAATAACCTGGGCTCCATTCCTGAAATGAGACACGTGCCAGCCAAAGCTTCACATCCTTGAAGCTCCATTAGAATATCTGCTCTTGGAAAGGTCTTTTTGACACAGAAAAGGAAATCCTGTTTTGGAAGATTTTGTTTGTTTCATGAACAATGAAGTGACCAAAATAATTACTGGGCTTCTAGAAAATATAAAAAATAAACTTGGTTGAAGCTGTTGAATATTTTCATGCTATAGATAAAATAACCTCCAATTCCTCTATGACCATTTCTCCAAAATATATATACAAAGAGTTTCTTAACGAGGTCAAAGAATAAGTGTCAGCATGCCTTCCTTGAAGTGGCAGCATTCACAAGGCATTTTGCTGAATTATTGCAAGTGACTGGATATTATGCTACTCCCTCCCAAATCAGATACACAACCAGAGCAGCCCACTGCAGCAGCTGGTGCAAAATAATTAAAATTCTGCTGATTTTGACAGAAAAATGTCATTAAGGAATGCAACATTAATCAATTTTTTGAACAAGTAAGAGGTACAAATATTTAAACATCTCATATAATTTTTGTCTTTAATATTTTAAAACATATGAAATAACCCTTTCTCTCAATTATGTAGTCTTTGTGACAGCGTTAAGGTTGTGCTCCCTCTCCTTACAACAGCTGCTTAAACAACATATTTTATTTAACATAACTGAAACATTTATTTCCCATTACACTTTAAGTGAATTTAATGCTGATGAAATTTACCAGCTCTCAGTTCACAAGTCCATCACCGTTCAGAAGAGTTATGACATTTAGAATCTGGCTAGCAAAGCACTGAAAAATCAAAAGCCCTTGAGTAACGTGACCCCCAAACCTCTCAATGTCAACTGATAAGGAGATTACAGGAAAATTCTGATTCTGGTATGCTAAAAATGTCACGTAAGGTATCAAAGGAAAAGATGTCACACTGGTTATAACTTAGGGATGTAAGCGACTAGTCAACTATCCGATAAGCAAATGTATATTGGATAGTTGAGTAGTGACTCAACTAGTCACTTCCCCACACCTCTTGCTGCCTCTATCAGAGAAAGGCAGTAAGGAGTGGGGAGCAGGATCCTTGGGGAGAAGGGGCAGGAGTGCAGTGAGGAACTAGCAGTGCTTCTGCTTTTGAAATGTAGCAGAGCTCTTGCTACATTTCAAAAGCAAACACGCTGCGGGGAGCCTGGGGTGAACTGGGGACTCAAACAGTCCCGTGCTCCCTGGTTTTGAAATGTACAAGAGCCCCAGAAGAGCTCTTATACATTTCAAAAGCAGAGCACCGCCAGGAGCGAGGTGCCACCAGGTAGGGACTCAAAGGGTGCATCTACACAGCACAGTTATTTCAAAATAACGTCAATGCGAGCATCTACACAGCAATTCCGTTATTTTGAAATAATTTCGAAATAACGGATGACTTATTTTGAAATCTGTAAACCTCATTCCACTAGGAATAACACTTATTCCGAAATAGCAATTTTGGAATAACCATAGTGTGGACACTCCACTGCTATTTTGAAATAGCTCCTCCCCAGGGCCATTCAAAGTAATTACGGAGTGCTTCCTGGGGCTCTAAATCGAGGTAGCACGTTCACATTAGGGACATTTGCCTTGGACTAATTTTGAGGCTTTCCTGTAGCATAGACATGCTACTTCGAAATAAGCTATTTCGGAGTATTTCTTCTGGAATAGCTTATTTCGAAATAAGCATGCAGTGAGTGTAGACGTATCCAAACAGTCCCTGCTGGCCCCGTGCTCCCTGCTTTTGAAATGTACAGGAGTCCTGAGAGGGCTGTTATACATTTCAAAGCAAAGCGCTGCCGGGAGCTCGGGGGCAGCGGGGGACTGCTTGAGTCCCCCACTGGCCATGCTCCGCACAGTACTTCCGCCATTGATATGTAGCAAGAGCCCTGCTGGCTCTTGCTACATTTCAAAGGTGGAGGCACCTTTATCGACTTATCGAATAGTCAATGCAGATTACACCAATTATTCGATTAGTTGATTCATCTAAATTTAACATCCTTATTATGAATATCATCATAAAATATATGCACTACTACAATAGAAGGACTTACATACATATCACTGGAAATATGTTCTTACAGTTTGTATCAAGGTGCTAATCAGCAGAGGTGAAAACTAGTTTCCTATCCAGTCTGAGATATTTACCCATTTATCTGTTGAAATGTACACTGCATATTGTCGTGTTCCCAGTTATCAGCTGGAGCAAAACACAGATGAAGGACTATAAGATTCAACAGGAAGAGAACAGAGGCAAAATAGCATCAACAGGGCGTGCACTTCAAAACGTTTACTGTACTATAGCTGGGGGGAAGGGAGAAGGAAGGAAAGCATCTGGTTATACTGCTCCTAGGAAGTAAACAGATGGCATATTTGGATTCATGAAAAATGGGCTAATAAACCAGCCTCAGCTACAAACACTGCAAAAGGCTTGGTGTGAGATAAAACTGCTGTAGACAAGTTTGTTTGGTCTCTAGAAAATGCATATTGTTTGATTTTTTTTCCACCAATAATCTTTCTTACTACAGGCAGTCCCCGGGTTACGTACAAGATAGGGACTGTAGGTTTGTTCTTAAGTTGAATCTGTATGTAAGTCGGAACTGGCATCAGCCGCTGCTGAAACTGATCAGTTTCAACAGCGGCTGAATC